CCTTCTACTAAACAATTTTGAAGCTACTAATCTTCTTTGCATAGTTCGTATACCAACCGTAATTTCTGGAATTTCGGCAATTATTCGAGGTGCGGACTTCCAAGGATCTTGTTGAGCAATTCTTTTAATGCGCCTGTCAGTCAAAACCGTTGTTTTTTTGGGTCTTCCCGATTTCGGTAATTTTTCTAAGTGTCCTCTGTCATTATACGATGAAATTATTCTAGATACGCTGTACCGAGGTAACATAAACTGTCTTGAAATATCAGCTTGATTGGTACCTTCCATAAATGCATTTACTACTATTTGCTTTAGGTCTTTTGAAATTGGAATTCCTCTTGGCATAACTAGTCCTGCACACAAATGGTTAACTTAGCACAAATAAACCCAACACGAGTTATTTTTGCATTTACTTTTACTAAAAGCGTCTTTTTGAACAAATTTTAGAAATGTTGCTCTATTCTTGACGCGTCGCTAATACGCATTTAAAACTAATGTCAAAATAAATTCATTTCATTTGTTTTGTTTGTGATCATCAATAAATGATAGCCTACTTTAATGTCCTCAAAATGTATTGAATTTGTGTACAATACCTTGCATGTATAATCATAATGTTAGGATTTCTATTAAATATATCTTATTTTTGAAGATGTTGCTCTACTTTTGTCTGATAGTGTATATGGACGGACGTACCCATCAGTGCATAGAACAACAGCAACATTATCGTGGGTCAAAGAAAACGATTTTTTTTGGATCTGAAACACAAGAACTAGTTGATAGTTACCTCTAGAAAGTAATTACCATGTATGAGCTCTTAATATTAATGGAAACATTATCCTCATTTCACTTATGCATTTTCGATTTAGTCTCATTTATAAATAATTATATCTTATCACCAATAGATCTTTAAGCCAATGTTATTCATAATTTTTATAGGAAATTGGTGGCTCCACAAAAATGGTCTCTGATTACTTTTTTGATAAATCGAAGTATTTCAAAGATATTCGAGATCAAAGATTGAAGAATTTAAAGAAAAAAACTTTTAGCTTTGAATTTTGTTATTATTTGAAAAATAATTATCGTGAAATGTTTACAGAAAATTTAATGCTCCACAAAAAAGGTCTCCTTTTATCGATAACTGGAACCATTTTGAAGAAATTTGCATTGGAATCCTAATGAGTACTTGTTTTCATAGTTTTTAATAAATATGTTCAATTTAATCATTAAATTGACGAGTTTTCTTCACATCATTCATAAAAATTGGAGTTTACTTTGATAAAATCACAGTTTTTAAATTATTTTTTACCATTTGTTTGGTAGTGTATTTCTTTCTAATCAAATTTCTAACGATATTTTCTTTCATAATTTTACTTTAATCACAATTGAGAATCCTAATCGAATATTTCTCAACTGGATCATTTAAAATTAAAAAAGAACACAAGAGATCTTTTTTGTAGAGTATTAAATTTCGAATAAGAATAATTGAAACCATTTCACGATAATTATTTTTCAGTTAGTAACAAATTTCAGAGCAAAAACTTTTAAATTCTTCAATCTTTAACCTTGAAAATGATTCGAATTATCAAAAAAGTATAACAGACTATTTTTGTAGAGCTTTTAATTTACTAATTATCAATAAAATTGGCTATTGGTGATAAGATATATGAGACTAAATCGAAAATGCAAAAGCAAAATGAGGATAATGTTCCAATTAATATGAAGAGCTCATACATGGTAAGTACTTTCTAGAAGTGACTAGCAACTAGTTTTTGTGTGTCAGATCCAAAAAAAATTTTTTTTTACCCACCTTAAGCAAGATTTAGCAGGACACTAAGTATGTACTTGATATGTTAAGAAACATTACCTTACAAAACCCTTAATGTTTCTACAAACTGAAAACTTATTGCGAGTTTTTTCTTATCAATTAACGATTGACCCTCATTGTGAGTATATATATATATATATATATATATATATATATATATATATATATATATATATATATATATTCTCACGTATTGATTCACGGATGGAAAAATGTGATGACACTATATTCCGGGATCCGTTGTGCATAAAAATTTACCGACAAATAGATGGAGCAGCAATGGGATCATCTCTCTCACCTGTGATTGCCAACCTCTTCATGATTTACTTCGAAAAGAAAGCAATAGAGAAGGCAAAATCTGAAGCCAAAACTATGGACAAGATACGTTGATGACGTATTTGTTGTATGGCCTTTTGGCAAGGAGGAGCTTTTGAAATTCCTAGATCATCTGAATTCCATTCACCCAAGGATTCAATTTACAATAGAACTTGAAGAGGATAACAGTCTGCCCTTTTTAGATGTGCACATCACAAGGACCGAAGATGGACACTTGGAACACACTGTCTATAGAAAACCAACACACACTAATAGATACCTGAACGCTAAATCTCATCACCACCCATCACAGATACAGGCAGTGGCAAATACATTAATTGCTCGGTCCTTCAGGCTCACAAACGAGAGGAACAGAGATAAAGAACTGAAGAAAATTAGTACCTGTCTTCGACAAAACGGATACCAAAGGCGCACCATCAGCAAGGCAATCAGTAAACAACAACAGCCGCAGCAGAGAGTGCAGGACGAGACCCAACGAAGATCGATCTCTGTCCTGCCATACATCAAGGGGGTTACTGACAAAATCGGCCGAATATTACGGAAACACGACATATCAACGGCATACAAACCTGACCATAAAATCGGAGCAATACTAAGAAACCCAAAACAAAAAATTACTCTGGAAAACCAAGGAGTATACAGTGTAGCATGCGGATCGTGCAGCCTGACGTATGTGGGACAGACCAACAGAAGGATTTCAGCCAGGCTCGAGGAACATCGTTTAGCCATAAGAAACAAACAAACAACATCTGCTTTGTTTCAGCACCAACATCAGACAGGCCATAAAATTGATTTCGGCACTTGCAAACAAATAGCTAATATTCCTGATTTTAGGACTAGGATTATACGAGAGGCCATCGAAATAGAAAAGTCCGGACACCTCAATACGAGAGACGACGCTCTGCATTTATCCAACACGTGGAGAACGATAATCAAACAGCAGAGCGATGCGCAGCAGCCAACGGGGACATCGCAACTATATATATATATATATATATATATATATATATATATATATATATATATATATATATATATATATATATATATATATATATATATATATATATATATATATATATATATATATATATATATGACACTATATTCCGGGATATCATCCGTTCGCTCGTTGAACTCCGACTGGAATCCTGCATCCGACTGGAATCCTGCAAATCTTGCATCCGACTGGAATCCTGCAGACGTTTCGCCAAAATCTCACTTGGCATCTTCAATGCTCGCGCTCCGAAAACACTTCGAACACTGTGTGTCATCACATTTTTCCATCCGTGAATCAATACGTGAGAATATATATATATATATATATATATATATATATATATATATATATATATATATATATATATATATATATATATATATATATATATATATATATATATATATATATATTATTCTGTAATTTCTTTTTATTATTATAGCTTACTATTAAATTTTTATAAATATAATGTACCAATAAGTAATAATAATAAGAACAAAGCATCGAATAATGGCTCACTACATTATAATCACCCAGAATGGTGAGCTTTTGCTAATCTGCTTTACGTGCCCTTATTAGCTTTAGTTTTAGGCATCTCATAGTTCCAACCGCTTTTCCTTCTTTTCTTGTTATGGTAGTTATGTTTTCCTTTTTTAATTTGGCCTCTTGGCTGCTAGCAAGAAATAGAATATGTTCTTTACATAATATTTTCATAAAAAAGTATACTGGACGAAAAAAATTTTTTTGTTTCGGGTTGTCTTATTATTTTAATAATTAAACATACATAGGTTAAGTCTATTTATTTTTCAATCGGTACGACAGTTATCTTTTTTTATTATTTACTTTTATTCTATACATTTTTTTAATTAATATTGTTGTCAAACACTTAGTTTGTCGGGTTTCTTTATACAAAATTTAAATGCCTTTTAATGGTTCCATAGCATTATTGACCTATTTTGCGACAGTGCTTGCTGTAGTTTATATTGAGAATATACTTTGATTTGGTCCATTTATTTAGATATAAATAATCATTAATGGCGATGAATGTTTTGACGAGAGATTGCAATTTTCATTTATTTCGAGCCACATAAATTCGAAGATTTAAATATAGAACTGCAACGTTCAATCGGGACGTCGTTTAAAATTCGAACGTCACGTTCAGAACGAGGAACGTTAAATATATATAAAGTCAACAAGTTTGTAACAATGCCACATAGCCGAAATATTGGTAAAATAATTAAATAGGGCCGCATTTATAGACTTATTTACGTAACTCGTTTGTTCCGTTTTGGTGAACATTAATTTGTAATATCGTAGCTATAGCGGCTAACAAAATCGCACGAATTATTGGCCGATCTTTTTGTGTGCAAACAAGGTACGTTTTTTTCCATCAAACTTTATAAATTATTTGCGCCATCTACATAAATTGTACTTAGCGTTAGCGTTTCCATCGCGGGTAATGGCGTCAAAACGACACCCACCAACTTCTTTGCATATAAGTTCTAATCAAGGGTTCCCGTTGTTATTCCTCCGCTTTGCCATTTTATTTTTGTTGCCGGAGGTCTCACGTATTGTGCCTTACGTAGATGAAGCGACGTAATTCGTTGCGTATATATGCTATCTATGCCTTAGACCGAAGTTTATATTAAATCGATGAGGGCACACGTTCGTCCCGGTACATACGAAAAGCACCCTAAAACATAGGGTAAAACTAACGGCAATTTACGTAACTAGTTTGAGGGTGAACGCGTAAAAACGTGGCCAATCTTTCGTGCGTTCGAAGCGTAACAAAGAAACCGGGGGTTGTATCGAAGAAAATTCCATTTCGTTCAACATGCTTACCTCACAATTTGACTGATTGATGTTGCTTAGGTTGAGCTTGTATACGCGATCCCTGAAAAAATAAAAAATAAGATTAGACATTGGAAGGAGTATCAGACTGATTATAAGTTCTAGCGTTACAGCCTCGAACAAGAATTATAATTAAATAAAATGGAAGTGCCAATTTATGATAACATAAATTTATTGATTCTGGGGTTTCGAATGTTTGGACAGAAAATCAATCAAATGATTCATGTGTATGTAATAGTATTGCGCTTTAAAAAGTACAAATGATAATATCGTGTTTAGATTTGAATATCAACGTCAACGTTTAATAACACTTTTGAATACTTGATAAAGTCACAATTTGCTTCAACAAATCTGACAATGTAACACACACACAGTGCAATAACATTGAAATAGTTTTAACAGAGAAAACAGATGGTTTGCAGCTTATTTAAAGTTTCTCTATTGTGAGAGACCCTTTCCGTTTTATTTCATGTTGCTAAACTTTTAAGAGATTGTGAAAAATATTAGATACAAAGTGATCGCCTAAAATAGGCAGCATTGCATTTACTTGGCGTCGAAAGATTTATTGTCACCACCTTTTGTATCCCGATATTTGACCACATCTACTTAACGGAGAACAGTGCCTCATGTGGGAATGAAATGCCCCATCTTGGTCTAAATGTCTTATATGGCGAATAAGGTAGAAGACTTTTCTCAATTCTCAAGTTTCTGTGGTTTCTCTGGTTTATAAATCAACTGGTGATAATAGTCAACTATGCTCCTTGTCTATTTCTTTAATAAGATAGCTCCAAAGGGTACCTAAGGATTTAAATTCAGTTAATATTACACTACTGTACAAGATTCTTAAATGTGTCATGCCGCCAAATTTGATATACCAAATTATTTATCGGTCCAAGCTACGCATAAGCAAAATTATATTCTTTAGGTAAATTACACAAACAGGCCAAGTCTGTAGTTTCTTTTGTAACAGCACCTAGACATATTATCAAAACTTCGTTCGAACTAATCAACGAGGTTAAAAACATTAAAATTCCTCCTAAGGCAATTTCAATTTCGTTTGACATCAAACATGTTCCTAGCATTCCATCGATTGACGTACTAAACATAGTAAATAATATTCTCACATGACAAGTCAACCCATAAAATAAGACTTGTTAGATAGTTTATTAGTATGTTTAGACCAAAATTATTTTTAATTTAAAGGTCAATTTTATATTGCTAAAGAAGGATTAATTATGGAAAACCCACTTTTTTGTGGTATAAATACGTAGATGATCTTTTTGCTTGTCTCTCTAGAACGGAAAGACAACTCATTTTTGAATCATATTAACTCCATATATAACCGTATAAAATTTGCAACAGAGACGGAACTAGATAAATCTTTAAACTTTCTGTACTTAACTATAACTAAATACCATATTTTTACATTTATCTCACACACGGATACAGTAATACATTATAACTCAAATTACACACAAACTGGCTGTCTTTTATTCCTTTATCCACAGACTACTTTCCACGAAAATTTTTGAAAAATAATTAAAAATATTATAAAACAAATAGCGTTTAATAATGACTGCGATCCCTGTTTGGTAGATAAGATTACAACTAAAAAACATATGCGGATGTTTCGCTTCGAGACTCGCCAACACTGCAACTGCGCAACAGTATTTAGAGTTTAGAGAAGAATGACGAAGACATTTGACTGATTGTAAGATATTAGAATATTAGTCAGTCAGTTTGCAGGGGAACGCGGCATCACTATGAAATTGAATAATGAAGCGGATTTTTAATCTAAAAGCTAAGATTTCACGCATACGATTAAGAAAAAATTAAGGAGAGGAGAGTTGGAGGAGAGCTTTATAAAATCATTATTCTATCCTATTCTAACTCTAACTTTAATTTTTCCAACAAAAAACTTCCAGCTGGTGCTGTAATATTATTTACAAATCTTCTGGATTTCTCCTGCGTCGGTTTTTGCTGAATCGAACTTGCTGACGTTTCGCCAATCATCCTGTTGGCTTCTTCAGAGCTTGACTGAAACTGCCTCGCATTTTACTCTGTACCTGCTTATATATTGTTGACACATATACATATAAAGTCTTCCATAAGAAGAAGATATGTTTTTATCTGAATTTTTTTGTCCCCTCCGCCCTGTATAAGTAAACATAACACAGTTGTACCCTAAAAGTTTTGTATTAAACTTTTTTTTCTAAAAAGAAAAAAGTTAGAGGAAGGAAGGGGGTTGGATATTTATAACGGATCACCCTGTACAGAAATTCCCACACATATCTATCTATCCCATATTAAACACCGAACCCAAAATTTATAAAATAATAAAATACATGGGAGAACCTAGCATGAAAATTTCCAAACATCTAAATTTGGTCTTAAAATTCCTTTTAAAACTGAAAAACCTGTACGAATTTTTTCAAAAAACAATAAAACTAAATTACGAAAAACACAAAAATCCGAAGTCTACAAGTTAATTTGTGGATCGTCTGCCAATATTTATATCGGACAAACAGGTACAGCATTTAAAAAACGCACAAATGGACATAAAAGAGTCTACAAAAATAAAAGTTCGGTTTTAGAAATGAACAAGATTGGCGACAATTTTGATATTTTACATAACGAATAAAAAATCAAAAAGCTAAATTTGTTGGAAGCAATGGAGATTAACAAAATGAGATAGGTACTCGAATCTATTACTTAATGACAAATTGGAGTTAAATGTGTGTTCGTTGTTAAATTTAAATGTATAACCCTACAACAGTTATTAAGAATCTAATGTTACCTGTTTGTATATAGAGATGTCGGAATATTGTCATATTTTGTATTTGATAAATAACTGTGAAAATCTCAACATTGTTTGTTTTAATTGTTTTAATTTTGGCTCTATCTTTAGAATTGCTTAAACGTCACTTTTTTTAAATACAAATATTCGATCATTAGTCCAATAACGTTTTTCCATGATTCTTATGCTATTTATATTTCTACATTTGTACCGCAGCAGCACATGCATAAGCTGCAATCAATGGCATTTAATCCATTGTTTTGTGTCATATATTTAATGTAACTTTTTGATATTGCGTTAATAAACGTGTAATTATTATTATTATCAATTTGGATCATAAGAGATAATACTAGCAAAAAAAAAAGAGTTTTAAAAAGCTGGAACTAAGAGGCAGTAAGTGTACGCAATATCTTTAACTCTGCTTATACGAGTGATTTCAAAACACTTCCACCCTTTTAGCAGTAGGAAAAGAGATAAAATCTTAGGAACGAGCTGCCCATTTTAGCGCGCGAACCATTTCGCCGTAACGTTGTAATAACCTGCAATAACCTGCGGGATTTATCTCGCGTTTCGAACGCAAACTATTCGTAAACAGCAGGAATGTATTATCCGTTGTGAATCGACCGAAAGTAATTATTACACACGCCGAGAGAAACAAACGTCTCGACCGATGATCAAAGCGGAAGCGCATGTACGATCGAAAATCCTGCCGGAACTTCCCGGAATGCTAAAGACGAAGAATTCGTATTATTAAAAGTTGCCGGGAATCGAAAGGAGCCGAAACGGGGGCCCGGCGTTTATCTTGCCAGGCAAATAAAACATATCCAAAACGAAGGGCCCCCAAATTCGATAAGTCGGGTTTGTTAAACCGATAAGCGACGCGTCGCGACGCGGCCGCCACGTTGCGTGAACCGAGTGCACATCCCGAAAGCGGGTGGGCCTCGCGGGCCTTCATTTTTGAAACATTAGTTCCGGATGGACGCACCTTTGCAAAACCCGCTCCATGGCCATATATATATATATATACCCGCTTATCGGAATCACGCGAAATTGCTGTGTCCGTGTCTGTGTGTGTGTTTGTGTGTTCACCGCACCATCGGACTATTATGGCCGATAAAAATGTTACGTTTAAATCGTTGATTTACGATAAACATATACGAACGGCAGCTCTCGACACACACTAAATATCAGACTTTTTAATGATAATTATAATAATAACAATATTCATCACACAAAAGTATAATGAATTTTCAGAGAGGAGCAACTAAGTTCTTCTAATAAAATCTCCTCCACAGAGGTGTGATGGCAAAATCGCACTTAGGGATGCTTTTTTGACCAACCGATATTTGCAGAAACAAATTCCCTAAAGCCTAGAAAAACGCTATCGTCATTCCTGTCCCTAAAACTTCTCAACCGCATGATGTAACACAATTAACATTCTCCCCACTATATCTAAAGTGTTGAGAAGTAGTTTGGAGATTTTATAGCTCGACACAATACACAATACAGCTCTTTTAAAAGTTTGTGACGATATATTTCGGGCAAATAATATAAGCCTGAATACTTGCTTAATATTGCTTGATTATAGCAACTCGCCCAATGATGTTTGGATATGAATCTTTATTTTAATCAAAAAGCAGTGGTAAAAATAGAAGGGAATAACACCGAAGAAATAGAAATCCGTCGAGGAGTTAGGCAGGGGTGCGTGCTATCACCGATGTTATTTAACCTTTACTCAGAGGAAATAATGAAACGAGCATTGGACGATGAAACGAAAGGACTAAAAATTAACGGAGTGCCTGTCAACAATATAAGATATGCGGATGATACGATCCTGATAGCCACCAACCTAAACGAATTACAGATTGCAGTAGACAAAGTTAATACATCGAGTGAAGAGTTCGGACTGTCACTAAATGTAAAAAAGACAAAATTTATGATAATATCAAAAACAGCACAAAACAATTCACAAATTCATATAAATAACCACCCCATAGAAAAAGTTGACAGTTATAAATACTTAGGTACAATTGTAAATAAGAATAACGACTGCTCTGAAGAAATCAAAACTAGAATAGGACAGGCGAGAACAACATTTGTGAAAATGAAAAGAGTGCTCTGTGGCAGCGATCTCAGCTTGGATTTAAAAATCAGAATGGTGCGATGCTATGTTTTGTCGGTACTGTACTATGGTGTAGAGGCTTGGAGTCTGAAGAAACTGGACATAAGGAAACTGGAGGTGTTCG